GTATATTCCAAGGTATTTAAGTTTCTTTGACGCTACTGTGAATGGAATAGTGTCTTTGATTTCTCAGCTTGACTGTTGTTGGTATATGTGAAGGCCACTGATTTGTGGACATTGATTTTATATCCCAAGATTCTATTGTATTTCTTGATCACTCCCAGGAGTCTCATGGTTGAATTGCTGGGGTTTTATAAGATCAAATCGTCAGCAAAGAGCAAAAGTTTGACCTCCTCTGTCCCCATTTGGATACCCTTGATGTCCTTCTCTTGCCTGATCACATTGACCAGGAGTTCTAGCACTATGTTGAATAGTAGTGCAATAATAGGCATTGTTCTCTGGTTCCAGTTTTAAGTGGAAATGCTTTCAGTTTTACTCCATTCAGTAGGATATTGGCTAATTCAGAACTATTTCTACAAAATTCCAGGTCTTCTGTTTCCATCATCTCTTACTGTATAACAAATCTCTAAACTTACTGGATTAAACCAATCACTTTTTTTTCTGATGTGACTTTTCTGTGTTGACTGAACTCAGCTGGAGAAGAGTTCTATAGCACATGACCTTGGTTAAGGCTGTAGTCATCTGGAGGCTTAACAGGGCTGAGAAGTCCAAGAGGGCTCAGTCCCGTGTGTGCAGCTTTTTGGGGGACAGCTGGGAGGGTGGAGTGGCTGAGTCTTTCTCATCTGTGTGATCTTACATTAGCCAGACTTCTTTATACTGTGTCTTAGGGCTTCCCAAAGGGCAAAAGTAGAAACTACCAGGCTTCTTACAGCTTAGACCTAGAACTGTCACTTTCCCACATTCAACTGGGGACATCACAGACCATCCTAAATGCATCACAGGAAGGGACTGCACAAGGCCTTCTGTGAATCTTGGGAGGCGTGGTTCAGTGGGGGTCATCTTTGGAGAATAGTTTTCATGGGTTCTCTAACTGGGGCTCGTAAGTATATGAGAGACTGAATTACAGAATGCACGAGAGTGCTTATTTAACAGTAAACTTAAAGCAAAAAGAACGTCATACAAATACTATGAAGAGAGATTCTGGCATTAATTCTCATATCTCCTTAGTAAGGGATTAGAGAAGGTGTTAATTAGACATGGTTTAAGTGAATGTCTTTTCTCTAGTCCTTTAGTGACATTTCTTTCATTTTGTGCTACATCATCTGTTGAGCTTCTCCTGTGATTCATGTAGTCATGTTGCAATTATCACTTCTCTTCTGGGGAATGGCATTTATATTTGTTGATGGTAGACGCTCCATCTCATCATCTTTTATTGTTCAAAGTTCATAATTTATATGCAGAATATTTGCCAACTGTCTCCATAGTCTCAGATGCTACTACCCTTAATAGTTCCTGAATGATGCTAAAAACTTAAGGGAGATTGTTCTACTCTAGTGTACACTCTGAAAATAAAATTTTCCCTACCTGTGATTCCCTTTGATTTTGGAACACTTTTTGTGTTTGTGAATGGTTAAGGGGTCTTACAAAGGTCCTGAAGTTTTGCCAAAAGAATGAGCTCCAGGTTATGTAGAACCTAAAAGAGGACCCATACACAACAGGATATCTGGTACATAGGAGATGCTCAACACATGTTCATTGAGAAAAACAACAGTGTCATGATAATTGTTATGAGGAATCAATGAGCGCTATGTTCTGAGTGTTTATGTCTACCCTCAATTTATATGATGAAATCCTTATCCCCAAGGCAATGGCAAGAGGAAATGGGACCTTTAAGAGCTGATTAGGTCATAAGGATGAGGTCCTCATGACTCAGTTAGTGCCCTTATACAAAGGACCCCAAAGCTCGATCTAGCTCCTTCCACTATGTGAGGACATAGAGGAGATGCCATAGATGAACAAGGAAGCAGGCTCTTTCCAGACATAGAATCTGCTGGTACATTAAGCTTGGCCTTCTTAGCCTCCAGATCTGTGAGAAATAAATATCTGTTACTTATAAGCCACTTAGCCTGAATGGACTAAGAGGATGAGTTACATTTTGCAAAGGACCTGGAATACTGTGAGTTTCAATAGCCATCAGTTACCATTTGGCATCTGCTCCATCTCCTATTGTTTAATACAAAAATCTGCCCCCAAATACTAATCCTGAATCTTTCTGCATAAAATCTAATCCTGAATCTTTCTGCATCTTTCTCGTATTTTTTTTTTTTTTGAGACGGAGCCTCAAGCTATCCCCCAGGGTAGAGTGCCATGGCATCACGCTCACAGCAACCTCCAACTCCTGGGCTCAAGTGAGTCTCCTGCCTCAGCCTCCCAAGTAGCTGGGACTATAGGTGCCCGCCACAATGCCTGGCCATTTTTTGGTTGCAGCCATCATTGTTGTTTGGCGGGCCTGGGCTGGAGATTCGAACCCGCCACCTTAGGTGTATGTGGCTGGTGCCTTAGCCGCTTGAGCCACAGGCGCCGAGCCTCTCGTATGTTTTAATGGGAACACTTAATATACTTACATTTAACTATCAATATACTTGGTATTTCTACCATTCATTTCACGTTTTCTATTTATCTCACCCTTTGATTTCTTTTTAGAAAAGAGTGCCTCCTTTAGGAATTTTTTTCCTTCCATTTTCCCCTTTTTCCATTAGTTTCCAAGTTATACACTGTATTTCTAGACTTTTAGTGTTTACCATAGACATTTTAACAAGAATACTACTAAAAATCTAAGTTATTTGCTTTTTCTTTCCTCAACTTACAAAAATTTCATTATGATCATCTGTCTCCAGACTTATATGTGGGTGCATATTTTACTGTTATTTTTCTTTTTTTCAACTCGCAATGCATATTTTACTGTTATGCATTATTATTATTGGTTTATAAAGTCATTGCTCAGATTTTAAGGTACATCTTTTACAAAATTGTTTATATTCATTTTTTATTTGTTTTTCAAATCTGCTTGGTCAATTTTACGACCTTTTGTTCTTATGTCTTTAACCTCTTATGCAATTTATTTAAACATATTCTGCATTTGATAATTCAAGGAGCCTTTGCATGTGTAATTCCACAGGTTATTTTTGTTGACTCTTGCTCATGGTGCTCTATTAGTCTTTGATTCATGATTTGTGAGTTTGTGTCCGTATTCCTTAGAATTTTGTGTGATTAAATGTGCCTAGGAGGAAAGTAGAAAATCAGATTCTCCAAAAGGAGGATTTGGATCTGCTTTTGTGGGTATCTAGAAGAACTACCAACCCAAGAACTCTTTAAATAAAATCCTTGGGCTCGGCACCTATAGCTCAACTGGCTAAGGCGCCAGCCACGTACACCTAAGGTGGCGGGTTCGAATCCCCAGCCCGGACCCGCCAAACAACAATGATGGCTGCAACCAAAAAATGGCCGGGCGTTGTGGCGGGCGCCTGTAGTCCCAGCTACTTGGGAGGCGGAGGCAGGAGACTCGCTTGAGCCCAGGAGTTGGAGGTTGCTGTGAGCTGTAAAGCCATGGCACTCTACCCAGGGGGACAGCTTGAGGCTCTGTCTCAAAAAAAAAATAATAAATAATAAAATAAATAAATAAAATCCTTGGTTTGAAGTTTTTGTGAATACCCACAGTATACATTTATCTGCAAGTCTGCATGAGGACAGAATTATGAATTTAAAAATTGGGGGAAATTTCCACCCATACCTGTTCAGTTCAAGTGTCCAGTCAGCTTGTTTTTTTTTTGTTTGTTTGTTTTTGTTTTGAGATGGAGCCTCAAGCTATCCCCCTGGGTAGAGTGCCATGGCATCATGCTCACAGCAACCTCCAACTCCTGGGTTCAAGCGAGTCTCCTGCCTCAGCCTCCCAAGTAGCTGGGACTACAGGCGCCTGCCACAGCGCCTGGCCATTTTTGGTTGCAGCCATCATTGTTGTTTGGCGGGCCTGGGCTGGAGATTCGAACCCACCACCTTAGGTGTATGTGGCTGGCACCTTAGCCGCTTGAGCCACAGGCACCGAGCCAGTCAGCCTGTTTTATTCACAATTTTCTGAAGGGCCAGGGCCAGGGATAGATTAATTTCTTATTTACCCTCACCGGTAAAAGATAAGGCATAATCTGTCATGATACCAGACAATGAGGATCAAAAAAATAAGGACTAAATAGTTCCAGCTTATGGCAAGGCAGATCTGGACAGAGTCATGTAGTTGGAAACAAAAATTTGTATGCTGTAATTTTACTGAATGTTCTATTTTGGTTTTAGAAAAGCAACTTTACCTTTTGTGTGGGTACTCTTGGTAATAAGCACTTATAGAAACTTTTGGGGAGAGTAATGAATGGGACACCCTTGATTTCTACTCACCATCCTCAGCGCACATTCCAAGGTGGAAGTTGTCTGGGGAGGACGTTGTGAGGGCAGCTTTATCAACAGGCACAAGTTTTTCAATATCCACTTCTACCCTTTCTCTGCCGGGATGTCAGCCAGCTTCTTATATCATGGTCCTGGCTCCACCCTGACTTCCTTCCCATCTGTTTGTTTGCTTAGCTGAAATCTTTTTCTGCCCAGTCTTCCCAGCTCTCTCTGGGAGGTTAAGGCCACAGCTCACCTGAAGAATCCTGAAGGATCATCTTCCTTGGACCTCCCCGATCCCAGAAATCACTTGGCAAGTCATCTGTCCTATGAGCTGCTCTCTATGTAGGCCTTCAATCAGCTCCTGGCCTCCTGACCTCGATCCACTCAAGTGTGACTTCCATGGTCCAATTCAGACAACCTTTGCTATTTTCTTCTCACTTCTCCCTCCCCTCTTACCCTTCTTTTTTTTTTTACAGTTTTTGGCCGGGGCTGGGTTTGAACCCACCACCTCCGGTATATGGGGTAGGTGCCCTACTCCTTTGAGCCACGGGTGCTACCCCCCTCTTATCCTTCTCTCCTATGTTCTTATTCATATCTTCTACTCCAGAGGTCAGCTCTTGGCTACACAGGCCCAAATGTGAGTGACACACAGAAGGGACAGTGTATTCCTTCTGCAGCCTCAGCACATCACTGTCCAGCCCTTTGATCCCCTGTGGTTTTCTCACTTCTAGTCCCAAAGGCCCAGAAGCAAACCTGGAGGTGAGAGCTGAAGAAAGGAGGAGCCATGATGACCTTGTGCTCTGTGAGGCAGACTCAGTTATTAGAAAGGAGGAAGATGGGAGTCTCCAGATCTGCCGTGTGTGTGGGGACAAGGCCACTGGTTATCACTTCAATGTCATGACGTGTGAAGGCTGCAAGGGCTTTTTCAGGTAGAGTTACCCACCCACTTTTGCCCCCTTGCCACAATGGACACACTAGGTCATACCTATCTGGGGCCTGCCCTTAGCCTCTGGGCCTCAGCTTGGCCTGTCCCCAGGTCCAGACTTGGGCTGGTGGCCCACCCAAAGGCCTCCTAATTAGTCTCAAGTGAGCCATTAATATTTTAGGGGAGTCTTTCCTTTTCTGTCTTCCTGCTCCATCTGGGCAAGTTCCCCTCCCATTTAATGTGTTCTTGAATAAAATGGAAGCTCAGTCAGTGAAAGAGTACAGAATTTGAAAATCCAAAATGCAAGTCTTAAGTCAAATCAATCTTATTTCTTTTGTTACATAAAGAATGGCATAAAATAAATTAAAAATATAACAAAACAAGCTCATCTAGAAACAGATAAATAGGGAAGACCAAAAAAGTAAGGACAAATAAAGTCCCAGCTCATAGCAGGGAGGTCCTGGACAGAGGGGTTCACGTGTCTAGCTACAGAAACAAAAGAGAGCCAGGCGCAGCGGCTCATGCCTGTAATCCTTGCACTCTGGGAGGCTGAGACAGGTGGATTGCTTGAGCTCACTAGTCCTGGACCAGCCTGAGAGAGAGCAAGACATTGTCTCTAAAAAAAAAAAAAAGACTGGGTGTTGTGGCAGGTGCCTGTAGTCCCAGCTACCTGGGAGGCTGAGGGAAGAGGATTGTTTGAGCCCAAGAGTTTGAGGTTGCTGTGAGCTATGATGCCAGGGCACTCTACCAAGGGTTACAAACAGATTCTGTCTCAAAAAAAAGAAAAAAACAAACCAAAACAGAAAGAGTAAAGCCAACTCAGCAAGGCCACCCTACAGGGCTCAGACCAAGAGGAAGAGAAGCAGACCAAGAACGGAGGGATGTGCGAGGAAGAGCTCCCAGGGTGCCCTCAGGAAGGGATGGGTATGCAAGGAGCAGCTCCCACCTTGGGGGCCACACTTGGGACTCTCATTTGTTTTCAGGACAGCCAGCCTGACTTGGCCCTTTGCAGAGTCCTTCCTGGTGTGTTTGGACATTCAAATAAAAATGGGCAGGTCCAATGGCATCTTGTTCCAAGGAGAAGCAAACATTTGTGTTGCCGGGGGTCTGAGGGGGCAGGACAGCACTGCAGTGTCGGGCTGCATTCAGCTGCAAGTCACAGGACACTTGACTCAGATTGATTTGAAGATGAGGAAAACATATTACCTTGCATGACAAGAAGTCTGAAGGCTTCTGGATGGGTGAATTTGGCAGCTTCTTCTTCAGCCATCCTTCTCAAGAGCTCTGAATTCAGAGCATGGTGCCGGGGCTCCAGGCAGTAACCTGTTCAGCCCAGAAACAAAAAGGCTCATCTTTTTCTCTCTCCAAGGGGAAGGAAACCTTTCCCAGAAGACTCTCTCAGGAAATTTTGGCTAGAGCTGGGCCCCAGCCTATGCCTGAACTGGTCGCTAGCAAAGAGTACCAGATAGATCCTTGAGCTGGGCACATGGCACATGGCCACATGGAGGAGGACAGACATCCATACCAGGTCTGAATTTGGGCAGCACAGAAGAGGCCATGGTGGGAGCTGCCGCAGCAGGTCTGTGCCTACCGCCTCAGGCCGTGGGAGTCCTGTGCTCTCCCTTGCCTGTTCGGGTGCTAGTCCAGGGACTCCTGGAATGAGGCAACATGTTGTAGTGGGTGAGAGCTTGGATTCCAGTATCAGGCAGATCTGGATTCACATTTTGGCTTGTCATTTACCTGGAGGACAGCTGGGATTTATATTCTCAATGCCTCAGTCTCCCTCATGTGTGCCAGGCAGATGACAGGATAAATTCATAGGGTTTTGCGAACTAAATTTGCAACGCTCTATAAACTATCTCGCCCAGCATCTGATCCATACCGTGCCTTTATAACTGTAATCCCGTTTCCTCCTTTGCCCCATTCTGGGTGGACTTTGGAGTAGCATCAGGGGTCTCTGACTTGGACCTGCGAGGAAAGCAAGAGACCGGGATGGCGTCTGTGAAGAACATGCCTGGTCACTGGCCGGACGCCTCCCTTCAGGCTCAATCCTGTAGGGGTCATTATGAACTTGGTTTAGCCTCCCAGGGACATCCTCTGCCCCACCTGTTCCAACTTTCCATCCTTTCCCACTCTGGACCAGAACTATAGAGCCATAGGAGAATTTCTTTCTTTTCGTCCAGCTGGGGAGATACAGGAGGAAAAATAATTAGGGCTGCACTAACTGGGTCTTTGTGGGAGGTTGGGGATGTCTGGGCTGTGGGGAGGAGATGCTGGGCAGGAGTCTCCAAAAGGCGTCTGCCCCTCTGCCCCATCTGTGCAGGGGCCTGCGGTCCAGCGCCTTGCGCTCCCTTATGACAACCTGAGATCAGGGAGGGGAATCCATCCTCCAGTGGGGAAACCATTGTTCATTGACGGAGAAAAGGTTCCCATCGTTCACGGGCTACTCCCTGGGGTTCCAACGGGAAGGGAGGTGGCTTCTTGTATTTCTTCTATGACCTTGGGTCAGTTTTCCTCTGGCTCCTCCTAAGGAGGAGAAACCGGGGACGAGGCCCATCTCCACAGAAAAGTCCCTGGTAATTAGGATGCGAAGAAAGAGGGCGAGGAGAAGACGCTGGGCCCCGGGGCTGGAGTGTCCCAGCGAGTGACCGAGAAGAGCAAACTGGGCTTCCTGCTCTGCCTTCTCTAGGGACAGACAGTTGGAGCTGGCTGCGGGCCCCCACCTCCACCTGTACCCTGTCGCATTGGCTGACCCGGCTCAGGAAGCGAGGGCGGGGCCGCAGATGGGGCGACCCGTGTCCCCACCCGCCCTGGTCGGGAGGGGCTGGGACAGAGGTGGGTGTGGCCTGGGGCCCTGACGCCACGCAGTCCCCCTTCTGCTCCTTGTTCCCACACAGGAGGACCGTGAAACGCAATGCCCGGCTGAGGTGCCCCTTCAGGAAGGGCGCCTGCGAGATCACCCTCAAGACCCGGCGACAGTGCCAAGCCTGTCGCCTGCGCAAGTGCCTGGAGAGCGGCATGAAGAAGGAGAGTGAGCAGCGGGCACCCTGGGCTGGTGGCGTGGGGGTGGGTGGGTGAGTGGGAGTCGGTTCGGGGCGCTCCAGACAGGTGTGCCCGGGCATGTGCATGGGCGTGCAGGTGCGCTCCAATAGCGACAACGTGCGCCGCGGTCTGGTGCAACATGCAGCTACCCAGAGAGACGCAGGGCAGGTGAGGGGGTGAGGTGGGCATCCTTGGCCCAGGCTGTGCCTTCTCTTTCCCCTAGGGTGCCCCTGCATGATTCGTGTTGTCCCTCTTCGAATTCTTACCATGTGTAAGAAAATGTGGGGTGAGGGTGAATCTGGCCGAGAGAAGCAGGAGACATGAGATGTGCTATAACCCTGGGCCTCCAGCCACTAGCACCCACCAGCTGCCCCACACCTGCATCTGTATAGGGAAACTTTGCCGAAGGGGTCATGGGACATTCTGATTCTACATGTTTAACTTTGATATCTTTGGGCTTCCTGGTCATTCTGGCATTAAATCTCATGGGAAAAAGCTTCCCCATAGTTCCCCCTTTCCTCCCTGGACCTCCAGTCTAGGATGGGACCTGGGAAAGGGAAGATTCTAGTACGTGTTAGTCTCCATTGAACATAGAGTGACCCAAAGCTGTGGGTGCCTCTTTCACTGACAAGTTCTCTGGGCATGCAGGCAAAGAGTCTTTCCTGCAGCCAACTGAGAGTGAGGTCCTGCCTCAGGTGTCCCTGCTGACCAATGTCCTCCAGGCCTCCCTTCTATGAACTCCACAGCTTTGCTCTGCACACACAAGGGGGCTCCAGACCATAGCGGAAGTGGCCAGAGTTGCTGTTTCTTGCTAAGCCGTAGCCCCTGCTCGATCTTGGAGGGCCCCGGAGCAATCCTGTTGGCATATAATCCACAAGAAAATAATAATACCCCATGCCATTTATTGAATAGCTCTACGTACTGGGAACTATGTTAGTTCTTTGCATGCAATATCTTATGCTAACAGCAGTGTAAGGTAACATGATCAGACCAGACTACAAAGAGGGAAACTGAAGACAGGAGAGGTTAAGAAGCTTGCGTGAGGTCATAGTAAGTGGCCAAGTTTTCATGTGAACTCGTGCCTCTGCATTCTGAAGCCCAGGCTCTTCCACTGTCACAGTGTCCTCGCAAGCCCCCTGCAGAGGGGGGCAACCCACCAGCTGTCCTCACCCACGGGTTTCTCCAGAGGAGCCCACAGATTTCTGAAGTCTGGACAAGGGTGGATTTCTTGTCACCATTACTTTTCCTTTTGCCTAATGCCTTCTGCTGCCTTGAGAAAGTTATAGTGGCTTGCCTGGGACAGGCGGCTGTGAGGGG